ACATGCTAGATGTAAATTACATACAGCACTATGAAGACAATTCCTTAATGAAATACTGAATATGACAAGATAATTATGATATGTTGAGCATGGGCTGACATAGTTAGAGAGTTCAGTCAAACTGGCGGCCATCTTGGATTTTCGGCCACCAGGGGGCACTACTGAGGTGGATCCATATCCAGAAATGTTTAGAATTGTTCAATGTATCAGTGTGCCTAGTTTGGTGCTTTTAACCCAAAGTGCACAATTTTGACAAAATCCTGGCCTTAACCGCCCCACTAATACGTGAATTTCAAGGTCGCCCCAGTACTTGCAGAGTTGCGTCCCTCAGTCGAGCTGGGAATTCCATATTAGCGCCCATTGAGATCTCTGATTTGCTGCATGTCTTCGAGCTCCCGGATTCCACCAAGTGGTAAATATGTTTCACACACTACACATATGGGAAACGAACCCTGGTCTTCAGTGTGACTAGGAAACGCTTTAAGCACCTGGCTACCTCACCACCCCCACTTTCGAACAAGGCTTAGCTCAATGACAATTTTCTACCACGTGTACGTCCACGTACTGTTGAACAATCATATCGACCACTCCACTATGTTGATACGCCCTCCCCTAAACACCCATCTTGGTAGTTATCACGGAAACGGCCATCACTAATAAGCACCCTCAGTTAGACCCTAAAAGAGAAGTTCTTGTTGAGTGGATGATAACGTGTCTGAGGCAGATATCGATCCCGACCCAGTAAATGCTACTTGAATGGTTAATATGGATTCAGTTTGACACATTCACGCCCTTCTTATCTAAATAATACGTCCAGAAATAGTTGCAGGTTGGGACTACTACAGAAGATGCAGTGTCCCACGATGGACAGCGCAATTACAGTACATAAATAGCAACAAAGCTAGTTCTATAGTTATTTGTTTAATAATAGTAATAATATTTACCAGAAGGATCGTGTCTGATAACAGAGCTCACCACCCTCGGTCCTCTCTTAAACATTTATATATGCCAATCAATTTGGGAGGTCGAGGCTTGATTAATGTGGAGGCTCTTCATGATAGAATTCTATTGTGTACTTTTGCACATATGTATTTATCGGATGATCCTCTGGTGATGGATGTCAAAACTCATGATAAAAGCAAGAGATTTCACAGCCATTTTAAGCGGGCAAAGGTTGTTGGACAGAATCTGAAATTTGAGGTTGATTTTGTTGATTGCGGTGTACTGCTGGACGGTACAGCGATGGGAGTAAACCAGGTGAAGTCCTTCACCAAGTCTGTCCAGAGTCGGGCATTTGTCGAAACGCTTTCTGAGAAACCACTGCATCGTGTATATATATGCAGTGTGTGGAACAGAATAGCAATCCCACCGACTCCCTCCGCTGGAGGAAATCAATCGGCTTGTCTTATAAAATGTGAAAGAGAGGGCTTCCGTTTTGCTGCCCAAGACCAGTCACTTCCCACTCGTAATCGCCAAAATGTAATTCTAAAAGAAGATATTTGCATGAAATGTCGATTCTGCAATGAATTTACAGAGACTGTCCAACACATTGTCAGCGGATGCCCTTCCTTGGCACAAACAGCATATCATAAATGACATGGTGGCATGGCTCGTTGCTTCTACTACCGTCTTCGGCATGCCTGTGGCTTCGACTCCGAGGGGGGCGGTGCGGTAGCCTCATGGTTAAAGCGTTGGCTCGTCACGCCGAAGACCCGGGTTCGAATCCCCACATGGGTACAATGTGTGAAGCCCATTTCTGGTGTCCCCTGCCGTTATGTTGCTGGAATATTGCTAAAAGCGGCGTAAAACCAAACTCAGTCAGTCAGTCAGTTTGACTCCGAGGTCTATTCATGGTACGACCCTGAACATGTCCAGGGCGTCATGGAAAATCATGCTTTTAAACCTCTTTGGAATAGGCATATACAACCTCAGAAGAATTCCTGCCAACTAACCCGATCTTGTCCTTTTTGATTAAGCCAATTAATTTATTATATCATTGAGGTCTCTTTTTGTCCCTTTTGGCAAGATTCAGGAAAAGCATGCTAAACATGCCGACCTCGCCTTTGAAAGGTCTCGCTTGCATCCCGAGTACACTGTCGTGAGGCTCCCCATTGTTCTCAGTGCCCTTGGTTTGGTACCTCCTGATCTCTTGGCGCAATTCACGAGAGTGCCCGGGTTCTCCATCGGGGGAACAGCCCTTCTGACACTCTGGGTAATGCATGCAGAAGGCTACAGTGTTGGGGAGTCTACATCATTCTCTGGAAAGTTCTTGGTGGGTTCGACTGCGCAGCGTGCTCTGGGAGAAGTCCCATTCGCTGTCTGGGCTGCGTATGGAGGGGACAAGGGCCCTGAGCTGATGATGAGCCTTACCAGCCTGACTGTGCCAGGATCACCCGAACCCTCTCTGCTGCATTTTCATCTTAATCTGTAAAACATAATATGTGTCGCGCTGAATTCCATGAATTCCTGAACGTTTTTATAGAACTTTTGAAAGCTTCAGCAGAGGGAGAAAGCCTTAACTCAAGTGGCAGTTGGTTCTAGAGTTTTGGAGCTGATTACCTGAATTATGGCTCCCTATCAGCAGGGACAACGAAACACTAAATATATATTTACATTCATCACATTATTGCTTCATTAATTATTTGAGTCAATGAATTAAGTGAGCAAAAGTATGTAATAGAATCGACAGTGAAAAGTTGTCACAGCCATTGCATTTGGATATTTACAAAATAACCAGCCCGTGAAGGTACAGGTTAGAATTGATTTTCAGCAATCCATGCTTGTCGTTAGAGGCGACTAACGGGGCCGGGTGGTCAGGCTCGCTGACTTGGTTGACACATGTCATCGTGTCCCAATAGCGTAGATCGATGCTCATGTTGTTGATCACTGGAATGTCCGGTACAGACTCAATTACTAACAGACCGCCGTCATAAAGCTAATAGGTTTTGACCAAAGCTGTTATTCAAATCAAACTGATGTTAAACCAAGCAAAGGTAACTCTTCCTATAACATCTGTCCACTTTTTATTCATGCAATCAACGATACAATGCATTTGTCTGATTCGCCGCATGTAGCTGTGAAGGGTTGCTACTACAAACCTTGAGACCCAGGTCGACCGTTGATCTGGTTTTGTCAGCACCATTCCCGTGAGTTTACCGAAGTGGTAGAGACCTGCATCACTCCAGGCATTCTTCCAGCATTATAGTATATACTCATGGAATAAAGTATCGCAACACCTCATATTTTACATTGTATCAATATAATATCATTAACCATAGCAAATCGATTTTTCCAAAACACAGTTTAACTTACTGCCTGGATACATTGACCGTCAAGGGAATGATTAAATGAATAAAATCAAAAAGGATGCACAACTGTAGTATATTCAGATATTGACTCATGTTGTAGAGCTGATAACCATGGTCGCAAGACGAAACACGTGCGGTGATTTTCACCATTCTGACGCACAAATCTCAATAAATCACATAAGTGTCAATAACCGAGCACAATGTCAATATCTGGTGTTAAACCACTAAGGAAAGTTATGTCCATTATTCATGGAAGTGTTTTATGAGCATAACTGATTAACTGCCCTAGGGCAATTATTTCTATTTAAAAACAATAATATTGTACTTATTTTGTAAATCTTCATCATGCCTAATACATTACACGAGTATTAAATAAGTATGCCCTCGTGGTGTAAGCCGTTTAATCACCCTCACTACGGTAGTTATTTAAATAAACTCTGCTCGGGCCTCGCAGAGTTTATTTAGATAACTACTTTGTAAGGGTGATTAACCTGTACTAACCTCCACCAACTGCATTATTAATCAGCCATGATCAAATGAAATCGACCAGTGGACGTCGAGATTGACACCAAGCTAGTCTTGATGCTTTCTGCTCTGGGTATTATGACAACAGACGTCTGATAGGTCGTCTTGCACTACACCCCGCCGATTTTAGGCGATATCGGGCCGTTCTGTTGGACAAACGACGATGTGGAAATCCACATTGTTTTTATCATGCCGCTTGACATGAACATGAAGCCTTGTCATTCTGAGAAGTCGCGGGCTCGATCCCCGACCGCGTCATACCAAAAGACGTTAAAATATGGTACTTGTTGGTCCCTGCCTGGCGCTCGGCATCAATGGGTACAACAAGGACTGGTCGGCTCGGAGTCAGTATAATGTGTCTGAGTGGGGTATTCATGCTTCACTGCGGCATGGTAACTCAGTCGGCTAGCACTATAAAAGCCAGCTTCAGTCTGGGCTAGTACAAGCAGCCGCACATACACATACACATGCATGCACGTCGTCATATGAGCGAAATATTCTCAAGCACGACGTTAAACCCAATTTCACCTCACCTCATTCTGAGAAGGGCTGGGAAACTTGATATTTGCTTAATGACGGGTACACATATTGCACGTGATGCTCGCGTTTTATAGTAGCACGTGCACATCTAAAATCAGTGTATGGTGTTTCCAAAAGGTAGAACTAATGATACAAACAAACAAAATTATGATATGAATATATATATAGCTATATGGGAGTTTAAACTCATAGGTGTTGCGATACTTCTTTTTCATGTGTATATATATATACATACAAATAATATATAGTTGTATCCCAATTAACCGTGTTAAACCATATTTACTTACTAACTCACAACAGATGATAGATGTTCCTTAATTTGTCCCAAGACACTGACTAACAACGTTTCTATATTCTAACGCGGTACTATACTCACCGTTACAATGCCCCATGTAAATCGATTATCAGATACACTCAGTACGCGTGTGTGTCCCATAGTCACTCTGCACGGCTGTGTCGTCAAACACTGAGTCGACAATCATGGAGTCGTGGTTGAAACCCCACTCATCAGCGCATTAACATGAGGACTACGGAGACACAAACTGACAGAATGACACTTTTGATTCTTACATACCATACACAATTAGAGGATTTGAAGTGTCAGAAGATGCATGTGTAAAGATCACAATGCCGCTGGGGAACCTGGAGATCGTGTTTATAGTGCTGACGGGGGTGGTGCTGTTGTTTTCGGTGTCCAGTAATATATTGGTCATAGTGTTGGTGATCAAAAACCCCAAGCTGAGGAACGTCACCAACCTCTTCATCTGCAACCTGGCCATTAGCGACATCGTGCTCGCCGGCTTCGTTCTACCTCAGAATCTTCATGATGTTTCTCATCCAGCAGATTACTATGAAGGTAGGACTTATAGTAAGGTACGGTGAAATATGTATATAGAAGCATTTCCTTGTTTTGGTCGGTGCTAATAAAAGGGCTAATGTGTACAGACTTCCAAAACGATCCCACATGAAGTTGTATATATTAGAAGAAAAAGAATATAAAGAGATCATTTAACGAGAAAATATGTTTGGATTGAAATTCGTTATAGTCGAGATTACACTTTCTAAAGAAAGTAGGCATTCTATAACTTGGTTTTGTGTCTGTGGGATGGTGGTGGTGGGTGGGGGTGGAGGGAAAGATGTGTTTTCCAATCCAGGATTCGAACCAACACTCTCAGAGTCAGGCACGTAGTCGTAGAATTATTGCAATTACTGTCTTCAAACTTGTATATATTTGAATTCGCTGTATTAAGTCTCTTCTTACGTGAAATATTGATTCAAACAGCGTTAAACCCAACTTACTCACTAACCTGAGGCTCTTCAGGTGCTTGATAAAAGAATTGTAAAGTATTTATCGTGAGTATTTATTATCCAAAACACGTTTGGAATATGACCAGATTAGATTTTAACGATGTTTGAAGTAGATTTTAGATTTCGGGGTGTTACTGGCCTATAGTGAGAACTTACGGTTTTAGATTCAGAAAGAGTTTAGACCTCCTTCCATCAAGATTTAGACACAAACCTGAAAAGGATTAGAGCTAAACTATCTTCTTGATTTTAATACCTATACACACCTCTTCACCATGCAGCCGTAAGATGGCTATACACTGTAAGATATAACAGGAAAAGACTTTCAAGAATTCGAATTCCATCGGTCGGGATGACCATTTTACTCGTCAAGGGTGCTCAATGGCAAAGTCATCACTCAGAGAATCATGGAAATCAAGCTGGTATTCATGTACGGAATGCACAGAGTTTTTGGTTTATGATTGACTGGCTATTCAATTTAGTTTCACTGAACGAATATAGACGCGAATAGACGCCGCGTCTCATTTCATTATATTTATGCCAGGAGTCTCGGGGGCGATGGGGTAGTCTAGCGGTTTAAGCGTTCGCTCGTCACGCCGTAGACTCAGGTTTGATTCCCCACTGGGGTACAATGTGTGAAGCCCATTTCCGGTGTCCCCCGCACTCACTCATGAGTCTCAGCACCAACAAAGTTGGCTGGTTGTTGTTTAACGCCGCACTCAGGATTATTGCAGCTATTTGGCGGTGGTCTGTAAATAATCGGGTCTTGAATCAGACAATCCAGTGATCAAGAACATGGGCATCGATCTACGCATTTGGGATACGATAACATGTGTCAACCAAGTCAGCGAGCCTGACCACCCGATCTCGTTAGTTGCCTCTTACGACAATCATGGGTTGCTGAAAACCAATTCTAGACCCGGATCTTCACGGGTTGCACCAAAAAAGACGGGCTGACTAACAATCCATGGATTTAATATCGATCTCTCTGGTCAAGATTATTACTGACCTTCTTAAGTTCATCCATGACATTTACTTGCTAAGTGCACTGGTCGAATAGCGAGTTTTGATTTAACTTTTCTGTAGTGACGTTTTATGAGACGACTTGCAGTACTAGACGTGAATGAGTGTACAGTATTTTAGCATTATTCCAGCAAAGGAGAAATCAGAATTGGGCTTCACACATTTTGTGAAAGACGCAGGTGGTGTTATTCTGTCACGGATACTGATTGCTCTCACCAAGCATTGCTTTATATGCATTCTGGCACTTTACTTTCAAGTCAGCCTTTAGGCCAAACTGGACTGGTGGGTTTGTTTTGCTGTGCCGAACATTTCTTTCATATCCCTTGAAGAAAATATATACGAAATTTCCTCTTTTACAATAATCAAATTGTTGATTGGTAAACTATTTTACGAATAAAAGAAAATGGTTTGTATGAGCAAATCGATACGGGATAAGAGTTTCTCCTTCAGACCAGATGTTTGTTCTCGGTACTGCTAAACAAACATATTTCTCCCCATTAACGTGACAGTAGGATATGATTTCCAATCATGCAACCTCGACATGGTGGACAAAGGGTTTTCCAATACGAGCTTTACGATAGATCTTGCATCAACGGCATAAACATTTTAAATAGAAGAGAATATCTATAGTCCTTGACGACTACTGTCAATACAATCTCGGCTATCTAGTAGACATTTTACAATTTTCGGTTGTTCAGTTTGAACTTTGAATCAATGTTTTTGATAGTGGATTTTACCACTTTGAATCTTGCACCGTAAAGATCGAGGAAGCTGCTTTCTGATTTAGCAATGTCTACTAATTGGATGAAATCACATCAACATGTGATGACTGACTGCCTGAGTTTGGTTTTACGCCGCTTTTAGCAATATTCCAGCAACATCACGGCGGGGGACACCAGAAATGGGCTTTACACATTGTACCCATATGAGGATTCGAACCCGGGTCTTCGGCGTGACGAGCCAACGCTTTAACCATTAGGCTACCCCACCGCCCCAACATGTGATGAAGATGCGATGATTATGCAGTCGAGATGTCCTTCTCTTTGGTCCTGGCAAAAAGATTGGCATCAACAACAGACTTGTTGTTCTTGACACCCTTTCCGCACTTTGTTTCGTATCGATTGGAAATAAACTGGCTCTAAATGTAGGTGAAGCCAAGTTGACATCAATAGCACGGTCCCATTATTATTACAGAAAGGTCAAAAGTCGGTCCGTCAGCTGATTGGCTAGTTTGTTTGAGGGCCGCAGATCAGGTATACCACGGTACGGCTTCAGGCAATAAACACACATTTTCATAGAAATCGTTAATTGTTCGAGTTATGCTTATCCCTTTTGTTCGAAATCGTTAATTGTGCGAGCTATGCTTACCCCTGGTGTCACCACTGATTTAACAGTGATCTATTCATATATATTTTGCCTTTTTCGTTGAGTGGAATCTGTTTAGGCGGAACCTGTTAAATAAACATGTATGTGCACCAGTGAAAGACAAGCGCATATCCTGGGCTGACCCGTGAAGATCCGGGTTAGAATCGGTCTTCAGTAACCCATGCTAGTCGTAAGAGGCGACTAACGGGACCGGTTGACACATGTCATCGTATCCCAATGGCGTAGATCAGTGCTTATGATGCTGATCACTGGTTTGTCTAGTCCAGACTCGATTAATTATAGACCGCCGCTATATGGCTGGAATATTGCTGATTGTAGTGTTAAACAACCAACCAAACCAAAGACATTCTTGGTTCATAGAATCAGTGATACAATTATTCTTTCTTGTTGCTTTCAAACAACGATTCATAGACCGTGTATTACAAAATGATTCTTGCTTTATACATTTATCCAAAGATTCTGACTCGTTACATGATTCCTACAAACATTCATACTACATACATTTAAACAAAGATACAAACTCTGACTGAAACTCTTGAAAATATAAATTTTTCTGAAATGATTCACACTTGAAACATTTACAAAATATTCATAGTTGATACATATATACTCAGCAGCAAAAAACGTCAGTACGAATTCAAAATTAGATAGGCACTGTAATGAAATCATTACAGAAATGGACATAATAAGCGGATCAAAAACATTTTTGTGTACAATATCTTGACACGCCAATGAATAACTCAGCATAATTTCAAGACATTACGTGAACGTTTGCAGTCCATTCAGACCCTTGACTTCAGTATCTAGTGTGACCACCACGAGCGGCAATAACTGCAGCACAGCGTCTATGCATGGAGTGCACCAATCGATTGATGAAGGCCATTGGCACCTGGAACCACACTCTGAGAAAGGCCTGGCGCAATAAATCGGCTGTGTTCGGCCTTGGTATGACATTATTCAGTCTCCTCTGAATTTCATCCCAAAGATGTTCAATTGGGTTTAAATCAGGACTAAGGGCTGGCCACTGCATAATGTTGACACCGTTCTGCTGTAGGAAGTCCCGTGTAGCTCTGGCAGTATGGGCCCGAGCGTTATCATGCTGGAAAATGTTGTTCCGGTGACGTGCAAAATGTGGTATGACGTGGGGTCTGAGAGCTTGGTCGATGTAGCGCACTGCTGTGATGCTGCCTCCTCTCCCTGGACCAAGGTTCTGGAACACCACAGGACCCACTCTCTGGTTCAGGCCTATTCCACCCCATACCATGATGCTTGCACCTCCCCATGAGTCTCTTTCCATAACACATTGGTCTGAGTAACGCTGGCCACGTCGTCGCCATATTTTTGTTCTGCCATCTGCAGTTGATACGCAGTACCGACTCTCATCTGTGAACAGAACAGTTCTCCATTGCCTGTATCGCCAGTTTTGGTGTTGTAGGGCAAACTGTAGGCGTTCACGCCGATGACGAGGGTGAGGATAGGTCCACGGTAAGGTCTACGGCAATGCAGGTTCCCGCTGCTAAGACGTCGGAGTACTGTATCAGTACTGATTGGTCTACCTTGTGTTCCCACTGTCTGGCATGCTGTTTCGGATGCCTGCATGAAGGGATTCTGTCGCACAACATGGTGGTCTTGTCGACATGTGGTCACCCTTGGTCTGCCAGTACGGGGGCGATCATTTGTGGTGTTGGTGGCCCTAAAACGTTGCTGCAGCCTGTAGATGGTCGAACGTTGACCTGGAAGTGATTGGCAACGGCCAGCTTCAAGTCTTCCTAGCGCCTGGTTCCTCTGAGCTGTCGTGAGTCGCGGCATCCTGCTGACGTTGTAATGTGAATGTTTCAACCAGGTTTGGGGGTGCATTTTATAGGGTTGGTCCTTGTGAACAGCACGTGCAGCATAAGCTGCATGAAAACATGGATAACACCGTACTATCTCCGAGATCAGGTTGCGTTTTTGAGACCATTTCCTGGGTTCCATTCTGAGTTTGGGAAGGAATGTCTTTGCTCAGGTAAATTTGGAGATGTTGTCAAAATATATTATCAAAACATTAAATGAGTTTACAGTTATCCGTTTCTGCGAAGGAAAATTCCAAACTGACGTTTCTTTTGCTGCTTAGTATACTTGTTACATGTTACGTTAAAGCAT